TCATGCAGCAGCACTGCAGATTCCACTGCAGGACAAGCTTCTGAGCTCGTGTTGCTTGCAAGATCGCTGGGGCATGCTGGGGCATTGGCAAGGCCGGCAGCAGGCAAGGCAAGTGCCAGGGTACGAGGCGCCATGGCGAATCAGAGCAAGAAGAGGGAGTTGCAGAGCCAAAATCTGCACAAAGACGCCTGACAATCATGCACTAGCTTGTGCAAACGTCTCTAGAGTCTCCAAAGTGATCAGTGGATCTCTGCATCTCCAAAGGATAGGTAAAGACGCGGCCATGCAACTACCCCTTCACTGTAGGTTTGCGACAATGCTTCTCATTCTGTTATGCTCCCTGATTTTACGGCAGGTCATATATCGCTATGGATGCACGTGTGCAGGTAGATGTAGGTTTCGATACAAACACAGGTACGCACGTAGACGCAGAAGTAGATGCGACATGGATGTCGGGATAGGTACATGTCGACATGGATGTATGGAAGTAAACTGGCAGACGGTCGCAGTCGGACCGAGTCCTAACTTCTCGTGGGTCGCATCTGGGGAAGCGACTGATCTCCAATGGAAGCCACTCTCTGCCGAAGTCATCCACGAAGGGCTCTCCACATGCCACCCTGGACGCACAAGCCGGACCGATTTCGTATGTGCGCCTAGGTGGCTGCGCGGTGGACTCCACGTGCATCGCATTGGTACACTGCTTGAACCACACCGAAACTCCCAACACATCCACCTGAAATGCCTTCAAACATCCTAGAACAAGCTTTGCAGTCTCGGCGCCTTCGCAGGTGACGAAAGCCTTGGGGGCCCTGAGATCAGCTTTCGATGGATGATGAGATGATGGGATGCTCCAATCTTATCAGCTATTTAGCAGTGAACTTAAAGTCAAGAGTACCCTCAAACCTCAACTGCATCACCAAGCCCCCCTGGGCCCTGTCAACGTCTCAGCTTCAAGCCATGGGATCCAGCTTCTTGTTGGCGAAGTTCCCGAAGTAATGCCTGGCAGCGGCTGGGAAGTGAAGCAAGTTGCCACAAGTCTCGTGCCGCTACGGGAGCTTGGGTTCTCGGGCTCAAACCAGCCGGGACCACGTACCCTCGAAGCTACAAAAGGCTTCGCGAAAGCGCTGCAGCTGGTCGTCGGTGAGGCGAACCTGGCAAGAGCTCACCCCGTCAATTCAAGTGTCGTTGAGATCCCGAAGCTGTGTTGGGCCGTCACGCTTCTTACTCAGCACTTCGGCCTGCCGCAGTCCCAGCTCCTCCTCAATCTCCCTAAGATCCTGACGCAGTCATCGCAAAGATCAGCCGACGAGTAGCTGACTTTGCATGGACCACAAGCACTGGCTAACGACACGTGTCAGAGCTGTCACTTCGTGCCTCAACGTTGAAACCCGTCGGGGATTCCATGTGCCTAGCGCTGCCAGAAGCTGCTGCCGCATTGCTCATCAGTAAGAATTACAGAAGCTCAGAACCTGTTTTCTGCCAGCCATTGGCGGACTTTGGCCAAGGTTGGCGCGACCTTGGTCTTGCGAACGCAGCAAAGCTTCAATGAGAAGATTAAGACTCCTACTGTGTAGATTTCTCCAAGCAGCACAGAAGCTGGGCAACAAGAAGCGGTAGTCGCGGCGAGCGCCTTCCTTTCCAGGAACAAGCGGTCGGTGCAAAGCACTACTACAATGATGAAGGCGTGGCTGTCGGAAAAAAGTACGCCGGCAACACCCAACGTGCATTGTAGCGTTTGGAAACCGTGGCCGCGCCGTGCAACTCAACCTCGAGACACAGGGTGAGAGACCCCAGCTCTTTCCGCGGCTGAGCTGAGGGACCGGACATCGGGAGGCAGGAACCTCGAGGTGCAGAAAGACTGTGCAGCTGCGGAGTTGGGGACAGTCTGAGTCATTAAAATTCTGGAAGGTCATGAGTGTTAAAACAGCATGCAGTGTTGTCTTGTTGGGAGTTTTTCTCGGCATGCCATCTGCACATGCTGCAGTCAATCTCTCAAAAGCTGCACCGGTCGACTTTCTGCAGTTGCCTCCTACCCCATCCGGCGCTCCTCTGCTTGCGCAAATCTTGAACAACAAGATGCTGTGGCAGCCCTGTGCTGACCCTTTGCTGACAAGCAGCGAGCGAATCCTCTCCACAAGTGCATCCAGCGCGCCTTCCTCCTGCAGCTTCGCTGACATCTATGTCAGAGCTACTGGTTGGCGCTTCAAGCCCGAACAGCACATCGATTTACTTTTTCTACTCAGGCCACAGACGCCAGCTGCTGAAGCTGGGATAAGTCTAGCCCGCACGTGCTTGCATCTTCGATGCATTCAAGCTTGCACCTCGCAGGCCGATGAGCAGTTAGCCGTGGCTAAGGGGGAACGTGGAAAGGACACATCACCGGTAACTACAGCGCACTGCTGGCAGGTATGAGAGCCCCCCACGCACGATCCAAGGTTCGCCTCTTTGGCAGCATCGACTTCAACCAGTCGCAGATCAGCTCCGTTGCAGCTGCCGGATGGCAGCCAGGAGCCACCGCCAAGTGCTTCAAAACATTCACCTCGACCGCTTTGACACTAGTATTTCTGCAGGTCAGCAAAACTGTAAATGACGCTGCATGCTGCAAGTACAATAGTATGATAATTCTGATATACAGGTATCGTGAAACAGCAAGTATGATTGTGAAGACGACGATGCTCAGACGACGCCGACGCCGCGCAGACCACGACGCCGACGCCGACGCCGACGACTAGCAGGATGAGCCTAAGGGTCAACATGATGGCGATGGGGTGACGACGCTGGTGATGGTGATGGTCATGATAATAATAATAATAATGATGATGATGATGATGCGGAGACGGAGGAAGATGATGATGAGGAGGATGATGATGATATTTCATCGTGAAAGTCAGCATGAAGGACTTCAGAGTGTGGCAGGAGTTTTGGAGCCTTCGCATGAGTCCTAAAAGTACATAGTCCTACACACCGTAGACGGCTTCCAGCGTGCCCTTGCTGTCCAGCCTTGAGCCCAGCCTTGAGCGAAGCGGGCTCTACTGTGCTTCTATCCACTCCTGCGAACTCCTAAAGAGTCGCCATCCGGCGCCAATGAACGCCATTCAAACAGCCCTACCTCCCCCGGTTCCGCCACCACAAGCAGCAGCGGCGGCCCAGGTGGGGTCATGTAAAGCCCGGGGCCTGGCAGGAAGAAGTCCGAAGAAGTCGGACTGGTCCGACATGAGAGCGCAGGGGTTTGGGCCTCCAGGCAGGGTGGCACCGTCGCCCAGGGCGAAGACCTCACAAGGCAATGCCGCACACCACAAGATGCACACCTTGCCCGGTCGCGGCCAAGCAACCCTGTACTCCGAAGGCAGGTCGGCAGTGGCCAAGGACGTGGCACCTGTATGCGATGGGAGTGACTGTCCCTGGAATTTCCATCTTCTTCTCGACTCCACAAGCAGCAGAGCCTCCCCAGGAGATAACGATGCCAATGGCGTCCTACTCCAGTTCGGCATTTCGGACCTGTGAACCTTGAAAGCCCCAGGCATGGCCCTGGCCCCCAAAGCTCCCATCACCCTCAAAAAGTCCTTTCTTGGCAGTGTCCAGCATGCGTGACCTGGCTCAAAAAAGGTCGAAAACGCCGTGTGACTTAACGCGGTGATGTCGCGGCCGGTCGCGAAGCCGCCATGGGGCTGCCCCTCTTTGCCTCCAGTCAGTGCCGAGGTGGCAGCCTCAGAGCACTCGCCGGCAGATGCGGCCCCCCGCCGTCCCAACTTCCGCGCCTGTGCGACGCTGGGCACATTCGTCGCGACGATGCGCGGCCCGGCAGGCGTGGCGCTCGGACGGCTGTTGCGGCCGCCCATTGTAGCACTGACAATTTTCAATCACGTTCTCGGTACCGCTGCGGCTTGCTTCGCCTAATGTGTAGCCACATTGTCACATGTCCTATGGCTGGAGAGATGGAGATTGCCGAAAGCGCTTAAGCACAGGTGATCTGTATTGCTGACGTGGATCAACTGTGGCCACTGGCCCTCTGTGGGATGCTCAACTCGAGCTAAAAAAACCTGCGGGCGCACGACTCCAGTTCTGAGCTTATTGTCCTTCAAATGACCTTCCGATAAAGGCGCAGTTGCGTTCTTGACTAAAGTCTCGATCCCCGCGGGGCAGAGTCGTATATCCTTGCCAACAATCAGGCGGCCGGTAACCACGTTACCTGCCAAGAAAGCTGGATCGCAAAGATGATGCTGCTGCGATTCCGCCGCCAGTGTCTATCTTCTCGGTCGTCGATGAAGGCGCATGAACCCCCGCACTGCGCTTCTTACAAACAATGCCAGGAGCACAAGCTGCGCTGACCTGGGCACATCGGCTGGATGCGTGAAAACGAAAGTTTTGACAGATCCTTTCTTGCTGCTTTTCTGCGCAGCTTCAAGGACACGGCCAGGGCCTGGCGCAATAATTAGTATTTACATGTATACCTTGCTGCTGTATTGCCTGGCAGACTATGTTTCGTAATGACCCGAGTCTGCGCTTCAGGCGCCCCCACGCCGCCGTCGGTTCGGCCGACACGGCTCCAGCGCAGCCTCTTTACGGAAGGGGGCTCAGATGATGGCTCCGGTGCTGCGCGCCCTGTGCCTTGCCTTACGTTCATCATGACTTGCTGCGCTGCAAAAAAATGCTCTGCAGAGCCGTCGCCTGCAGAGGTTGCCAAAGTTCTCCGGAATCATGGCTCCCGCCTTGCAGGGTTTATGGCTTAGAGGGGTGTGTACGCTCTTCAAGGCTTGGAGGTTATGCTGTGTCTTCGAGTCAAAGAGTTCATGGACGTAGCCTTCAGATCGCCGGCGCATGCTGCACATGGAGGGTCAAAAACGGTTCGAAGCGCCGGTGAAAGACAGCCCCAGATTATCGGACAGAAGCGGAAGACTACGTGCAGACACACAATCGTTTCCTCAGGAGAAGCACAATTTTTGCCTTTTGCAAATAAGACATGCAACGACCATAAGAGAGATGCGTTTCTCGAGAAAGGATATTCATGAAGAGACGGTCTGTGGAACTCTTGCCTGGAGGGGAAGTGCCAGCCGGCTCTTTACTACTATGCCCCACTCTAGCATTCATCTCTAGGAGCATGAATGAAGCTTGAAGGCCTTCAGCAACGCAAGCTCAAGCTCCGTCTCGACCGCACGCACGAAGTTCTCCGAAGCTGAGTTGCAAGCGTCTCATGGTAACTCTAAGTTGCAGGGCTTTAGACTTCTTCGTTTCAGGATGTTGGCCTAGGCTGTTGGGGTATGGGTGTGGGGGTCTCGGGCTTCGGGGTTGAGGCCAGATCAGATGCCGCCGAACACGACATCGAGCTCGGCTGGGGGACGCAGCATAGCAATGCTGTACCGTGCTTCATGCCGACGGCACTCGAAGCTGCAGGAATTGGAGAAGATTGCAACACAACAACATCCCGTTCTGCGCCCAAAAGGCCTATCCAGGGCTGCTGGAGACCGGCGAAGTGGTGGCCCAAGTAGCCTCCCGAAACTGACGCGGTTTCGGTCGTTGTGATAGAGGAGCGCTTAGGAGAATCTTCGTTCGGGTCGACACGAAGCATCACAGGCGGACTGTCAGGTCGACAGGCGCAGGCCTATGATCAATGCCACAGAGGTCTTCGGCCCCTTCTCTCTTCGACCCGCTAGCTCGGTCCAGTCGTAGCCCTGGCGTAGGCCACAGTTCCAAGCTGACTGGGAGGCCAGACCACTCACAAATCCCGTGCCTGTTTGTCGTAGAGCCAGGCATAGGAGCCAACACCTTCAAGCAGCAGGCAATGCCAGGGCCAGCGGCTCAGAAGGTGCAGACAAGCAGCAGGTCTCGTAGCTCCGTCTCCCATCCTGCTGTGCAGCTGGCAGTGCCCTACAAAGGCAACATGCGATTGCTGACGCGCTACGACTTGCTAAATGCAGCCCTGCAGCATGATCTTCTCATCAGCAAGACCTATCCGAACTGCAACCCCCGCCGCCTGGACCTCCCCTCCGTCGGTGTCATCCACTGCATCCGTGGCTTCCTCCTGAAATGCCCAGGAAATCCCAAAAACTCAACACATCGCAAAGCCTGGAAGACAAGGCCTCATCCTCGGTCGTCTCTGCGGGAACGCGGCAGTGCCGGGCCTGCTGTGCAGATGCGATGCGTGCTGCCTCTTCCATGATTACTCCGTGGCCGCCTGGCGACTGCGTGCTTTGGCATAGCCCGCGGAGATCACAAGCCATGGGGATGGCGGCGGCCCGGAGTGCCTGGCCCGCTCGGCCCGGTTGGCCCGCAGGCGCAGCAGGGGCCGTCCACGACCCAACGGTCGCAAAGGCCTCTGAGCAGACGGCAGGGCTGCGAGGACGCTTTTCAAACTTCTGCCAAGGCAAGCCCAGCCAATCTTGGAGCCAGACGTGCACTGGCCGCAAGGCTTCACGCTGTTCAGCTCCATGCGATACACAAGTTGTGAACTATCTCTCTTCTTCCCCAGGGCATGAAGGGTCGGTTAGACCCCCCGGCCAGTTGGCCCCCCAAATTTCATGGGGTTTTCAGGGGGTGTGAGAAGGTATGCTGTCCCCCGGAGTTTTGTGCTATAAAGTTTC